CAAACAAGAGGTAGGGGTAAAAATAAGAAATGAGACTGGGTTTTTCTGAGGTTTTATAAAGCAGCATTTAAGAAAATACTAGCAAAGACTGTAATGCATATGAGAATAATCATTTGTATTCAGTGTTTATGGTGCTGCACTAAATCCAAATAAACAAGAGCAGTTCTGCTCTTTGTAATTAAATAGTACTGATTTTAGTACTAACAGTGTCAATGATGTGCTCAGAAAAGCGTACTGGGATGTAATTTATCATGATACGATACAATGTCGTCATATTGCCACCCCTAACCATGCTGCTGGTAGAATAATGCCATTTATGCCATTTAGTCACTCTTTAAAGCTCTTCTTATCCCCATCCTGCTGCAGAGTGCCAGGCCCGTTTTCCCAGCTCAGTCCCCAAACGCCAGGAATGTGCCCATAATGCGGGTGGAATGTCTCACCGAGTCCCAGTTCTGCACTAAAAACACGCCCAGGGAAGAAATAAAGGAGCGATTGTTTCAAAATAGAGGAACTCGATTGATTGCGGGTGTATTTGGCGTCATATGCCTCTCCCTGTGTTCTCTGCTTACTTGGCTTGCTGCGTGAGTGCTGAAAAGAGTCTCTGCTTCCACCGTCTCTGTTTAGATGCACTTGTTTTGGTCGCAAGCTGGCCAGTTTTGGTCGTGTTGTGCAGAAACAGCCTGAATTGGTGGATTCAGAGGTTCGATTTACACTGCAAACCTCTCTTGTGACAGGTAGAGCACCGGAGACGTTGTGTGGGGAAAGAGATGTGGGTGTCAGACCACAGTTCTGTGGCTTTAGATTTGAGTAGGCAGCTAATAGCTACTGAACTGTAGGAAACTATACCAAGATTCTGGGCCTGTTTGTCCAAAAAGCTTCATTTTTTTAAGCATCCTGCAAAATATAGTTGTTAGTATGTTTGCACGATGTCTGAAGCACCTTTACGGCTTTCTGCGTTTATTAATATTTTCACAGATAGTCTAAAAGTCTGTTTTGCCTCTTGCGCGCTGGTGGAAATCTGGTGATGAAGGAAGTCGCTGAAAGAAAATAAGAATGTGAACCAAAGAAGCTAATTTTGTTCTTGGAGGAAATGATTTTTTATAAACAAGCCACGGAACTGATGGTGATCTTTCTCTACCTCAGTGTGTGTGTGTGTGTGTGTGTGTGTGTGTGTGTGTGTGTCTGTGTGTGTGTGTCTGTGTGTGTGTGTGTGTGTGTGTGTGTGTGTGTGTGTGTGTGTCTGTGTGTGTGTGTCTGTGTGTGTGTGTGTGTGTGTGTGTGTGTGTGTGTGTGTGTGTGTGTGTGTCTGTGCTTTAATGCCTCCCACACTCACACATACACACTCTTAGTTTCTTAAAGGTTGCCGCTTCCTGTCTGTTCTTCAGTTAGTAGAAGATGGCCAAGCCCAGTGCTCTGGAGAGGTAAGCTAGTTTGACCTCTGCTTGTTTATTTATTCATTTAAATTACATTCATTTAAATTACAGACAGATGAAGGCCTGTTTCACACATATTACCTCTGTGTGATATGCAGTGCTGTAGCCTGACTTTGGCAGGGAGCATAGCTCCCACATTAAGGGAGCACAGATACAACAATTGTAGGCCAACACTATAATATTATTGGCAATATTATGACAATATCTGATGTTTTCTTGTATATAACTGCTGATACCAGTGCTGATACATAAATCTACGAGGATAGGCATTACTGGGAAGTGTAACATTTGTTTTGGTAGGGGTGCAAATGCAGTAAAATATAATATAAATGAAAAACAGAGGTTTTAGCAGAGTAGCCCCTTGTTGTATGTCAAAAAATACACAATAAATGCAATAAATAAGAAGTAAAATCTTGCTTCAAAATATTGGTAAATTCTACACATTTATCTGATTTGGATATTTGTTTTTTAAGCAATTATTTATTATAATAAATATTATAAATGTTTTTAATTATAAAAAATTCATTGTTGATCCCCAACTCGCATATACAGCATTTGTGCTGCGTATGTACAGCAGGAAAGTTCTAGAGACATCCTTTTTCCCAACTGATAAACAGTCAAATCAGTTGCTCTGCTTAAAAAATATAATTCGTTAAATATCACAGTACATTTGTTTTCCGTCAGCCCCTTTCTGTCTGGTGACGGGGACATCGTTTCAAGCCTGGTAGGCATTCTGACAAATGCAGGTGCAGCACATTTCATTTGATAAAGGTCCTGAATTGTGGAATTAGCTTTTTGTGTATGTTTCTACTCTAAATTCTGTTCCATGTTTATTGCTTTTCATAGTTTATTTCACTGTATTTTCCAGCCTGTTGACAAAACAGGCCCCGTGCATGTTTTCTCATTGCCACACTTCTGCTGCCCGCTGAGACAGCTCGTGCATCCTGTGTGAACGCGCTAACCTCTTAACATGAGCAGTACTTCTCAAGCTATGCAGAGGGTAGTATGTGTGAAACCTTCCTGTGTCTGAAGTCTCTAAGCAGAACCCTCGTACTTCCATTGTGTACTAGCCACTTTTAGTGCAAGCAGTTGTTCAGACTAGAAAGATGAATGAGATGCAGTGCACTGTTAACACCCAGATGATGTACTAGACTCCTTTAAAGAATGGAGTGTAGAACGTTGCACAGAGAAGAACCGTTTTACCATGCACAGATATATTGATGGATTCAAGAGGTTCTTTGAGCTTCATGGTTATTAGATGATCTGTTTTATGCTTGTAGTGTGTTGTTTTGTGGGAACAATTTGTTATGTGTTGCTGCCTGTCTTGGCCAGGACCCTCTTATAGAAGAGATTTTAAATCATGGGGAAAAAATGTTAAGTGGTTTTGTATATGAGAATTGCTATATAAATGCGCCCTGTACCATATATAACCACTGCATATTTGAAAAATCCTTGAAGAGCCGTTTCATTTTTAAGGGTGGACGATAGAGAGAACTGCCCCTTCTCTCTGCTGCTCGTTTCCCAGAGTGCGATGTAGTGTCTAATAAAGCAATAAGCCACGAGAAGTTGTGGGTTACTCTGATTTTACCACGGGGAAGGGTGTTCTTAGGCACGGCGTGAAGCGGAGAAAAACACCTTTCTCCGTGATAAAACTGTAGTAACGCACAGCCTCAAGTGGCTCATTGTATTTAAAAAACCAGCAGGCAACATAAAAAATGAAAAAACACAGAATTTTTCATAAAATAATTTGTCATTACTAATAATAATCAACATAAACAAGTATTCTGCCAAGAAATGTAGTTCCTTAAAAGTATGGCATCGTTGCTAAGCAACCATGGACTGCTGAATAAGGAGAAGAACGTTTGGCCGCCCATCGCTGTATATTGCGGTCATTGTATGAATATATATAACAATGATAACAGCACTGATTAATGCAAAAATTTTTCCTTTATAAGTACTTTAAGATCGCCAAATCACCACCACGAGTCTTATTTAGCACCAGTCCAGCGGCGCCCTTCTTCCCAAGCTGGGGCTGCATTTCAGACAGCTCCCTGCTCCCCACATAGTGCACTACGTAGGAGTTTAAACGCTGGATCCTGCAGCCCGACAGTGTTTAATACAGCTATAAAAGTAGTCATTTGTGATTCAGCCACAATCCATTCTCGATAAATAGTGCACTGTTTGGCTGTAGAGGGTACAATTTCTAAACGTCCATAGCCGGCACACTATTTAGGAATACAGAGCCGTTTGGGATTCAGCCTGGGTTTGGTGCTACTTCTGACTGAAACGCGAACATTTGAAGCCCGTAAGCTGTTCATGTGGCGTTGTTTAGACTTTTATATTGCAGCTTTACAGTTAATCATACCATAAGTACACTAAGTTAAGTCTGTGATATTAATGATGGAGAGTTTAGGCAGTTAGCTATCTTTTAGCGTGTTGGCTAGTTGACCAGTGGTCTAGTTAAGAACATAAGTTGTCAGCCCCTCAGTTTAAACAGAAACAGGTTCCTACTTCATCAGTACACTCGGTGCTCCATGCGAGCAGCATCACAGTCAAAAATCCTTCCTTTAGCAGCACAAGGATTTCCGTGCCGTGGCAGCGATACTGAGTTCAGTTGCGGTGAGTCGTCGTAGGTGTGCGTATATTGTGGACTTTACACCGGCCTCGAACGCGGCTCAGCCAATCAGATTTTAGATAGAGCAGATTTTAGATAGAGCTAAGGTGCTCCAGTGGTTCAGAGGATTAGTAGAATTTCAAAAATGTAGTACTTAATGGTTTCCCACAGGCAGCTCTGCTATACAGTGGAAAACATCCCGTATTTATAAGAGGTAAAGCATGTGCGTGTGACATGGATCTCACTTGCTTACTCATGCGTATGTAGCGCTCTGAAGTTTCTCAACAAATTCACTTTGTCGTGCATCATTAAAAGAGAAAAAACAGCTGTGAAACCACGACAGCAGGAGCTCACGAATGCGTATTCGCAGTACGAACTTAAAAAAAACGTGACGTGAAGTAGTTTATTACAAAAGGTGTTGAGTTACTCGGTGTTATCTTGTTCAATGTGTGAATTCCTTTTCATTAAATCAGTTAACGCTAAACATCGTATAAGACAGCGATAAGATAGACTGATTGTTTAATGCTATGTGGTTGGTGGGGGCGATATGGTTGCTCATCCTGATTTGTTTGTTAAAAGAACATATTGTGGTAAAAATCTTTAGATATTGCCCCGGCCTAATAGATTTAGTAACCCTTTAATTTTGGTTACAGATTCAGTTAAAATCTAGGATAGTAGATATTGCAGAACTTTACTAAGTCCAGTACGGTATCTTCTCTCCTGAAAAGAAACCAGCACTACAGAAGCTTCTTAACTTGTCAGAACCTGAAAGTTAGTGTCCAAACTTTAGGAAAACTCCAACGGTGTCCAGTGGTCACTTTTATTCTTAGTCGTTCTGAAGTAGAATGTTATCCTTTCTTGATGGGCAGCTATGACAGGTAGCCTTAGAGGCTTACTAGCATAACATAGCAGCTGAGTTTAAATAATAGTGCTGCATTTATTCATATCACACAACTGTTAGTTATACACACTAGGATTGCAACGTCACGCAAATTTCCTGATACAGTATGTTTTGCTGTTTTATTGACAAAAACTTTACATTTTCAATGCACAATTAGAAAAGTGTGCAAACTTTTAGATTTATTTATTTATTTTCTATACGTCTGATTTTTTTTTCCTGTAAAAGACAGCAGTGCGTGTTGAAGAGATAACTGACATAAGGCGTTTCCTTAGAAGACAGTCAATAAAACATAATATAAATAAAAGTGCTGGATGTACATTACGTATCGCTGTTGTCGGAACAAAACCTCGTATCTCCAAAATGGTAACTTTACAGGAGAAGGAAAACACCTACTTTACTTTTAATGTGAGTCAATGGAACCAGAATTTCATCCAAGTCTTTTTGGGCCGTTTCTTTTGGTCCATTCATCATGAAATTCACACACAATGTACAGAGCAACAGGCATTTTCAAATTATTGCAAAAACGTAAAAACGTAAAAAATGGAGATACAAGGTTTTCTTCCGACAACAGTGACATGCGTTTGGCAAACGTGTCTTATTACGGCTCATAATAATAAAAATGAACAGAAATGTCTTGAGGGGATTGTCCAGCGTGGCTCAGTAGGTCCTAGAAAACTGTCGAAATCCAGGACTGTCTACAGCCGAGCAGTTATCGGGAGCTATAAACACCCCTGTCGAATTATTTGTTGACCACTCTTTCCTCATCATCATTGCACTCAACTCTGAAAACAAAGAGGTCCCGAACAGGAGATGAGTTTGAGTTTACTTGGCTGGTTCCAGCTCAAGTTTGCTCTCTCTGTTTTAAACAGATAATCAGCCATCCAAGGTAGACAAAGCTGAAGTTAGCTTCTTATTCAAATTTTCCACAGGTGCCAAATTATAACTGCTGCACTGTTTAAGATGGAATGGAAAATTAGAAAAGAAGCTGGTGAGTAAGAGGTTCACTTCAGCTTAGTCTAATATAGGCTAACCAAACCAGTTTTTTCCCCAGTTTTCCAAGATTTTTTTTTTACATTAAATATTATTATTATTATTATTATTATTATTTTGGGAATGTAATTGATTGTAGAACTATAGAAACAATTCCCAATATTTCATGTATTTTATTATAAGATCTATCTCTATTCAGTTCACAGTGCGTATTGTCTCGCAACACCTGCAGTGAGCAGAGAATGCAAACTTGAGCCAAGGAACTACCGGCTCCTCCATCCTTATCCTGAGGTCCACCTAGCATGTTTGTGTGGGTTTGTGTGTCAAAACAGTGGTATTTCAGATTTACCTGACCGCTTTCTTACCTGTCTTTGTCCCTTAGAATTAAACAGGCTGTTTTTGTCTCTGTGCCTTTAAAGGATCCAATTCATGGGAAACCCAACTTCACTTCCTTTACTGAAGTAAAAACTTTGAAGTAGTATTAAAATTTTAGATTTTAAAACATTGTTCGCTACACAGCCCGTACAGCCCATGTATGGAAACTAGGCCTGTTTTGAATTCAGTGTTACTGTGATGTCATGAGAGCCAACTCATTTACATAGACCCACCTTATCAGCCTACAGCAGTTTAGCCCCGCCGACTCATCGAAGTTCAAAGCAGTATTTCGACTCTAGGTGCTTTTTGAATGAGAGCTGCCAATCAGAAGAGAGTATATACACACACACACACACACACACACACACACACACACACACACACACACACACACACACACACACGTAAATGGTAACTTTACAGGAGAAGGAAAAAACCTACTTTATTTTTAATGGAAGTCAATGGAACCACACCCCCCCCCCAAGTCATTTTGGGCTGTTTCTTTTGGTCCATTCTTCATGAAATTTACACACAGTGTAAAGAACAACAGGCATTTTCAAATTATTACGCCTAAATTTTCTGTCCGACAACATTTTTTTCAGTTTAAAACAGGTTTATATACGTTTTACTTCTCCCACATATCTACTCACTTTAACTTTTCAAAAAATATTAGTTAATTGTAATTTTCCTGTTACTTAAAGGGTCAAAATATCATGTGGTGCGACCGTCCGGCCATGACTGCTGTTTTGAAAACTTCTTTGAAATTACTCTAAATGTATTCTTTTTTATTTTTTTTATCCCATTTGGCATGATTTCTAGTGTTTTGTTGTCCTGTTCAAAACTGCAAAGCATTTCTAAGTTTGTTTTCAAAATGATTTGAAAATCAAAATGAATTTATTCCATTGTTAAGCCAAATGCTTGTTCTAAACAAAGCTGTGAATGTGCTGCACTTATAATGATTTGTGATAAGATTTTTAGTGAAGAAAAGTTTATGAAACATTTGACAAATCTTTGAAATTATGATAAAACTGGTTCATATCTACTTTTTGTATGGAATTTACCATTTATTGATCTTTTAAAATAGATTTTTAAAGATTCATGTCATTTGGAGCCACTCCTCATCATGTGGTGCGACACATAATAGCAATAACTATTAAATTTAAAATAAAATATCTCATTTTTGTGGCTGAAATGTTAATCGCTGATGCAGTATGTTTGAGTTGATGGCATTTTAAAAAACGTTTTATAAGTTTTATGCGATTTGCAGGAAAAATATGTCTGTTACTTCATTTAAGAAGGTGACTGAGACATTACAGAACAAAAATATGAGATCGTTATTTATAAAACTCAAAAGTAATGCAAACCCGTTTGTTTCTAAACGCTTTATATACTGAGAACTTGTAAAAAAAATTACGTGTGTCAAGGAAATGAATTCATTGTGAGATAAATCATGGTCGCACCACATGGCTTTTTTTTTTTAAGGCCACAGCCATTTCATCTAGATGAAAAAATGCTAAAATAACTTAATCTAAAATTTAAATATGAATTTATGGGTTCACAGCATTCTCAGTGTTTGAACAATTGCAATTGATATACTTATTTTCTGTATTTTAAAATTGGCCTATTGAAAATCCTTATACGTCAATGAACCATATATGTGTGTGTGTGTGTGTGTGTATATATATATATATATATATATATATATATATATATGTATATACATATATGTGTATGTATGTATGTATGTATGTATATGTATATATATGTATATGTATGTATGTATGTATATGTATATATGTATGTATATGTATGTATGTATGTATGTATGTGTATATATATATATAATTTGTGTATATATATGTATATGAATGTATATGTATGTATATATGTGTATGTATGTGTTTTTATATATACATAATCACACAAATGGTACAACTGTATCTCTGTAATTAACAGAGAATATGGGACCTTTAAGATTAATATATGTAAATGAGCTTTGTTCTTATTGGCTGCCCTGTAGTGTAGTCACCATTACAAAGCAGTCCAGGACAAAACCCTCCCAAATAACTTCCAGGTGAATGGGTGGGGCTAACCTGCTGTACCCTCAATAGGTGGAAATATGTACCTTAGTTTTTGTGACGTCACAAAAAAAATGAATTCAAAATGGGCAGCTCAGTTTCTGCATATGGATTGAGGAAGTGAATTGTACATGCTGAAGCTTGACTGCACTAAATAAAACTCTGTTTGGTTTTCCATGAAATGGGTCCTTCAAGTTGAGACCTGAGGTTGGAAATTTTTGTGTATTTCTAACGTTTCTGCCCCAGAACGCCCGGCTGCAGCATATGGAGGCTGTTTTTGTAGACAGTCACTGTAGGGATGAACGTCCTCTTGGGCAAATGCATGAGCCGGCTCACAAAATGCAAACTTAAACCTGCCTTTGTTACCCAAGCTAATGTTTGTACACTTTCCTGTTATGTAAAGCTGTCGGTCCTCAAACCAGTGTTTGTTCATACTCAGTTTTCACAATAACTATTTGCATGTTATAAGGCTCAAAGCAGCAAGTTACAGACAAGCTGCTACAGTGGGTTCATATACGATTTCTATATAACCGTATATAAACGTGATGTTTATATGAACATTTAAGGCGTCAGTATGAGTCATTTGAATCATCAGTCATTTCCAAATCTCATGACTGTCTTCCTTCAGACGTCGATGGCTATCTTTGCATTTCTGGCTGACCAGCAGTTCACAGCAATTGTGTTAGAGTGAGTGTGTGCACATTTGTAAGTTCACAAGTGTTAGAAAGAGGGGAGGCTGTTAACCACACTGAGGCTGCTTTTGCTGACTGTTAAGCTTGTGTGACCATATGAGCTGTGCTGAAACGCTTCTGTTTGTGCTTCTAGAAACTTCTGCATGTGGTGGCTGGCTGATTTGGAGGAAGATATTGGATTGTGGTTTCACTGAGACCATTTCAATTGAAAGTAAAATTGAAAGAAAACCATCATATTCACCGTTTCCAGGAGTTTTTAGTATTTTTGCATAATTAAGTGATGTAAGATGTAAACAGTCATTACAAGTAGTTTGAAGTCATGAGTTGCAGAAAAACTTACCGACATGGATTTTCTCCAGCCTTTTAGTGGTGGTAATAGGAACCAGAGGTCGCAGTGTCTACAATGCAAATATAGCAATTTTATTTACTATCCAAACTGACTGGTAAACCTGCACTTCTTCTCGTTTTTACATGTAATGTTTATTATGGTAAAGTAGTAGTAAAGTAAAACCTTTTTGGGAACTGTTTGGTGTTGCAGCACCCCTGCATCTCCACAGTGAGTAGTATTTTAAAACTACATTTTAGTTCAAAGTCTTAATCTATCTCTGATGGACTGGCGACCTGTCCAGGGTGTATCCTGCCTTCCGCCCAATGACAGCTGGGATAGGCTCCAGCACCCCACCGCGACACAGAAGGATAAGCGGTTTACATGATTTATGTATGTATGTATGTATGTCTTAATCTATCTCAAAACCATCTTCTCCTGCATCAGGCAGTGTATTCACAACCATTTTATGTAATAAAATAATAATATATTAAGGCAACATTTTTCACAATACACAATATGCATTGGATTTTTAGTTTTCCTGAGTTTTAATACGGTGAAACAGACAAAATAGAACCTCTAGTGCCACATATATAGCAAATGTGATAATAATAAACCTACCGCTGCAGTGATTTGTATTCAACATTTTCCAAAATGCAGTGCACTAAATCCCGTTAAACAGGCCACGTTGTGCCCACGTTGTAATAAAACATGTAGTCAGTGTTCTTTAAGTACGGACCATATCCACAATATGCCTAGAAAAGCATACTGTGATATAATTTATCACGATAAGGATAAAATATCGTCATATTGCCCACCCCTACTTAATACTTATTGATTGGCAATGCTGTTGATGAATATGGCTATAATAAAAATAATTTGCGGTTTTGATATAAAATTGATTAAAAATTTCGTGCCTACCTCGTGTGATCATTAGTTGAGACTAGTTTGCCGTTTGGTGCAGGGCAGGATGCTTTGTGACTGTGCACCATGCAGGAAAGACC